GAATTCATTGGAAATATTATGACTTTCTCTGCTGCCTTGTTTGCAGTGATGAGCAGAGGTACAATCAGCGGAGGAATAGTTGGCCTATCAGTCAGCTATGCTTTGTCGGTATGGGTTACATCACATGTGCTAAATGTTAATAAGCCAATTTTGCATAGATTTCTATGGGTCAGAAGTTATGGTGATTTTGAATAAGAATTTGATTTTTGTGTTTTCATTATTCATACATTAAAACTTTATTCATATATTCACTGATTTCATCTTGTCTTTGATTTTGCGTTATTATATTTTTTCAATGTATGTAGCAAGTTTTGAATTGTATGGTGATATATACATATTGTTGCAGGTGACCCAAGCTCTTAACTGGCTTGTTCGAATGACGTCAGATGTTGAAACAAACATTGTGGCAGTCGAGCGCATCAAGGAATATACTGAAACAGAGCAAGAGGCTCCTTGGGAAATCCAAGGCAATAAGCCTCACAAGGTACAATTTGATACTGATGTATTATATATGCTGTATGATATGCTGGGAGATAGTTTTATGAATTTCCAAGCTGTGCCATTTTTTTTTTTTTTTTTTTTTTTTTTTGTAGAGGGAGAATGATGGGAAATATGAGATGAGAATGAATGGTCATATTATATTTGCGAAGAAAAATATTGATCTGAACTGAAACTGAACTTCATCACTGTTTATATTTTTAGTATTCGCTGATTACTATTATAACATTATAATTTGTTGTTTTATGTACTGTCAGAAACTTTATGAGCTGAGGCCTGTGAATTGAAGTATTCAAGGCAATAACATGTTATTATCATGTGATTATCATCCTTTACCAAAATGCATAGAATAATGGGTGTGGGAACAGTGATATGCACCCAAAGCACCTCACTCCTTTCACTTGTCACCTGGATTGCTCAGATGAATGAGGGCATAACTGCAGGAGAACAGCTTTTTTGGCAATGAGAAGTTCTCTCTTGCTTTCCGGTGTTTCCTCACTTGTATTTTTCCTTCCTCATTTGGATCGTCAGAATGCTAAGTACATTTAGCCTTGTTTTTTCTGTCTCCTCCTTTCCCTCCTCATGTCTCTGGTTTCCCAGGAATCTTTGTTCCTCATGATTGTTTGCTCCCTCCCTTAGTTGAAGTGTAGATTTGTAGGCAGTCTGTTTTCCTTCTCCATTCCATGTCTCTTACATTTTTCCATGGGTCAGCAGGTAGGAGGGCAAGTCACTGCTTAGAGAGCAAAGAGAGAGAGTGTGTTGGTAAATTTTGAATGTACTCTGCCTGGCATGCTTTGCAATAGTGATGTGCAGTTGTTTGTGATGGAAGGCTCCTTGTATCCTGCATAGGAGTACTAAAGTACTTTTGTTTATCCCCTCAGCCACTTTCAATCAAGATCATTACTCAATGTGGTGCTTCTTGATTGTCTTCTGGTTCTTTACCTAAACTGCCCTCCACTGTATCTTGCCAAGTGGTTTTCATCATGCTGAGTCTTTAGACAGAAAACTGCCTTTGTGTTCTCCCTTGACTATGTTCATCTCTTGTTAGAATATTGCTTCTTAGTTTTCAGCTGGCTTAGACTGGAGGGCTCAGAGGGCCATGGTCAGGCATGCCTACCCTTACCACCCTGGGGGGGAGCACTGCTGTGTATGCCCTCCAGGCACTTGCTTGCTGCTCTCCTTCTCTCTCCTTACACAGGTGCAAATGGGTAATACCTCACTCTGTCCTCTCCTTTAATTAGATGGCATAATCTGGAGCACATTTCTCAGCTTGTTTGGGAATATGATATCAAACTATTAGATCTGGGTGATGTGAATGTCCTATCATGAAATATTGGGACAAGAAGTGTGTGATGGGAAGACCTCATCATGGAAAGTAAAATGAGCTGAGAGGTGGGTGACAATAATGTCTTATCACAGGAAATTGATACTGAAAGTTTGGTGATGGGGATGTCATGATATGAGTGCATAAAGCACTGGGAGTGAGATAGACTCAGGAATGGGCTTGTTTGTGAGCTCCTGCAGGATTTCCACTAGTCCAGTAAGGTGAAATTTACCATTCTTTAACCATGAGAGAGGGCTGGTGGCTGAGGTAGAGATGAGTACATACCCTAGGCTCTGCCTCTGTATTTACCTGCTTTTTCCTGTGTCCTCTCACTCTGCAAGGTTACTGTTTGCTAAAGGCTAGAGATGGCAGGTTAGAACCCTCTGCAATTTAGCCTTCTTCCCCTTCCTCTGCAGGATGAGGAGAAGGTATAATCCACTCTCTGATCCTTGCTCCAACCCTTGTAAATTTCTCTCCCTCCTGCTTCTTTCAAAGTTCTTTAGCTGTCAATTGACGCTCCACAGGGTGAGGGGCACCAGTCCTTCTCCAAGGAATCTCCTTCTTGTTAAACTCAAGAGCTTCTATTAGTATAGATCAGTTAGTTGATCTACTCTGCATTCTACACTTAAGGGGACCGTCCCGGAAAATGGCCACCTTTCCCTACTCTTTACATCATAAAAAAATATCGGTTAGAGATAACTGATTGATTCTTTTTGCATGATATAGAGTATAGAATTGCGCTCGGTTATATATATAAATTTTAACATTGCTCCCCCATTGGGGGGGGCACCCCCCAAAAAGTCTAAAAAGATCGCTATTTTTTTTGGTATGTCTTAGGTACATCCCAACTATCACAGTTCTTTGCTGAATATTCCCCCCAAAGTACTTGTGTTAGATCAACCCTAGCCATAGCCATGTAAAAGGCTGAATTTTGAATTTCCTTTTTTTTTTTTTTTTTTTTTGGCGAGGGACAGCTTGACATAGAGAACTATTTTTGATTTTTTTTTTTTTAGCATTAAAATAATATTATTTTTTGATTAAGGCAAAAATTCAAAAATCAGCCTTTTACATGGCCTTGGGATGCCGAGGCTCTAGTGAAAGCAACAAACAGCATTTGAATCGCATGAAAATTACGTGAGTTGTGATGTACCGAAGATTCATAAAAAAATAATGGAGCTACGGCATTTTGTATTTGGCCCCTTGCCAAAGTTTGATATCTAAGTTATTTTTCTCTGAATCTAATGATATTTTATATAAAAAAAATGCTTATTTAGTGTACTTTGCAATGCAATAATTACCAAGTCAATAGAAATTTTCATTTTCAATAGGGACGCTATTCTGTAAAGGTATGTAATTTTTTTTTTTTTTTTTTCGTTGTTCATAAAAATTGATATATTCGTGTGAAAAGCTTAATAAATGCATTTTACCATAGAGACAACTAATCTAAACAAGATAAAAACCTTTTTTTAATTTTTAATTTTTTTTTATTTTTCATTTAATTTTTATTATTTTTTTTTTATTTTGAAGAAATGGGGAACTGTGGATGGCAACATTAGTACAAAATCATTCTAATTATAAAGTCCTGGCATGAATACAACATGGTGGTTCAATTTTGAGAATTTTAAAAGCATATGAATTTAGTACATTGAATTAGAGAACTTACGAAAGTCGTTGAATTTTTCCCATGCCTCACACGGGGGGGGGGGGAGATGGTCACTGGGTGTTTATAATTTTCAAGGAGGATCATATATACGTGAATGCACGCACATAAAGTTAAAAAGATTAATCATCATCATTTAGTAGGCCTACATTGACTTTCATATCTAAATAATAAAATATATTAGTTATCTCTCTCATACCATTTTCTTTTATAATTGTCAATATTAACAGATTGCAAAGGAGAACAAGTGTATAGTTTATGATTAGCGATTTGCACCCATTATCTTTACTAAGAAGTGCATAAAATCATGCAGACGCCTAGGTGTTGTGGGATATTTGCCAATTTATGGTGCCTAAGACTTACGGTAACGTCTAAGCATATTAATAATTATCGGGAACACACGAAACGGATGCGATAGCTTTTTGAACGCCAGACGAAGACTACGTATACAACCGAGCTCAAAATTCTATATAGTTTTTATTTCAGAGCAGGTATTACTGAGTACTATCATCTTCAACATGAAATAATCTGTATCTCGCTTATACATCCGAAGTTTAAAAATCTGACATTTAGGTAACATTGGTATTGAATTGGTCTTTACAACCAATTTCAAATCAATTCAAATTGCCCCCTGCTGTGATGTACCGACCGTTGAGAGAAATGTAACGGAAATATTTCAATCCTTCCTTATAAGGCTATTTTTAAACATTAGTGCTTCGTATGTGATATACGTATATATTACCTCGTAAACTAAAACATATTACCAGGGAGTCTCGATCAAAGCATATTTCGTGTGTAAAAGGACAAAACTTTTTTTTTAGATATATTTCACAAAATATTTCATCATAAATCACGGTGATATAATTTTTTCCTGATATTGGTATAAAAGTGTTCCTTGAACATTCACAAACTCATATCTATGCACAGTGTCATAATTAAATGCCTTATGCATGATTGCCGCAAGCAAAAGTCTACATAGGTGTACCTGGGTGCTCATTAGCGACGTACCTCTCCGGGTGCTGAGGAACTCGCGCGTCGGCTGCAAAACAATGAGCCATAGCAGGCACTTAATACTCGTTTGGTAGTTTCCTCATCCATGTACCTATACTATACGCAAACTAACTCAATTTAAACCCCTTACCCCCCTCCATCAGGGATGGTTCCCTTAAGGCTGATGCTGTCAGTTTCAAGTTCTTATCTTCAGGCTCAGCATCACCCCAAGGTTATTCATTAGTCTGATACACTTTGTTGGGTCTCCTTTTACGTGCTTGGGCATTCAGTTATTTATGTTCTTTTATGACTTGTTGGTCATCTTGTTCTCCACAGGAAAGCACAAGATGTTGCTTATGATATTACGGGAGTTGATAGGCCTACGTTTCAACCTCCCCAATTTCAGTGGGTCACTATGATTACCCTTTCCTGGCTGCTCCTCAAGTCTGACATGGTTGCAAGGATAGTGATCTTGTTGGAGTTATATTTTTTTAAACTCTGCTCACTTTCTTAATGTCAAACTAGTTTAACATTGAAATAGCCTGTTGGGCATCTTCAACCACACAGTGGAAATAGTCTCACTCAGCAGGATCTGAATCCATGATCCTACCCTTTAGGGGCATCTATATCCAGGTCCTTCATCCATGACCTTCAGGTGATGCTCCTATGCTGCCTAAGGCTCTCCGTCTTCAATAATTGAGATATGTCTCACCCCCCAGGGTGGCTAACCCTCTTGACTGGAACCTCATTGCTGATGCTTCAGTTTTGCTGGGTCATCCAGTCCTTGAAGAGCCATCAGGGTCTATTTCATGATCCACCCTACTCATGTCAGCTTCTTGAGAGCTACATGTGGTCCCTATTCAGGGAACTATCCTTTCAAGTTTGAATGATCTATATCTTCTAGGAAGACAGGCAAGGTTCCTCATTTTTAACCTGCGCTCAAGGGCCTTTCATCTAATAGGTACTCAAGTGGCAGGGGAAAGGAAACTATACTGTTATTTTTAGATTAGGCTCTGGACCAGCACTAGTTGTAACTGTCATTACAGCTTGTTCTGCAGATTAACTTCTTTGCCTCTTACCACAATAAGGAGGACAAATGACTAGAACAAGTGGAAGAGCATTTACCTGTTTTCATCTTCTTGTATGACCATCATATTTGTATGTGGTCTGGTTATTGAGTTGAGTCCATATCCAGGGACAGTTGATTATTCAGTCAGCCATATCTCCACAATCTGCTCTGTGATGGTATCCTTATCCCGTCTCCCTATTGGGAAAGCTCTGAGGGGGTTTTGTACTGATTTTGGGTCCCTGCCTACTAACAACTGAGCTGATTTATATTGTCTGTAGCCATTGCAACTTCATTAGGCAGCAATATTAGTCAGCATGGTCTACTTTCTTGTGTATACGTGAGATAATCATCTGCTGATATCATGTTACTGCCATGTATACTTTGATTCATAGGCCTTATCTCACAGAGGTGCTTTTAATATTGCATAATAAAATGTGATTTCATTCTTCAAATGCAAGATTTTATTCCTCATTTTCTTCCAGGAGTGGCCTGATGAAGGAGTGGTGGAGTTCAGCAAGTATTCCACTAGATACCGTGAAGGACTTGAGCTTGTAATCCGGGACATTGACTGCAAAATAAGAGGAGGGGAAAAGGTTATATTTGAGCTGGAACGTTTTTATGAATAATGAAATCACTCTCTCTCTCTCTCTCTCTCTCTCTCTCTCTCTCTCTCTCTCTCTCTCTCTCTCTCTCTCTCTCTCTCTCTCTCCTCTCCTCTCTCTCTCTCTCTCCCTCTCCCCTCTCTCCTCTCTCCTCTCTCCCTCTCTCCTCTCCCTCCTCCCTCCTCCCTCCCTCCCTCCTCCTCCTCCCTCCCTCCCTCCCCTCCTCCCTCCTCCCTCCCTCCTCCCTCCCCCTCCCTCCCTCCCTCCCTCCCTCCCCTCCATCCTCTCCTCCTCTCCTCCCTCTCCTCTCTCCCTCCCTCTCCCTCCCTCCCTCCCTCCCTCCCTCCTCCTCTCCTCTCCTCCCTCTCCCCCTCCCTCCCCTCCCTCTCTCTCCCTCCCACCCTCCCTCCTCTCCCTCCCCCTCTCTCCCTCTCCCTCCCACCCTCTCTCCCTCTCCCCCCCCTCCCTCTCCTCTCCCTCCCACCCTCCCTCCTATCCCTCCCACCCTTTCCCTCTCCCTCCTCCACCCTCCTTCCTTCTCTCTGCCAGCACTTCCCTCTCTCTCTCCCTCCATCCCTCCCTTCCCTCCTTCCTATCCATCTTTCTTTCTGTTCTTCCTCCTTCCCTCTTTTCCTCCTTTTCTTCTTTCTTTCCTCCCTCCCTTCCTCCCTCTACTTCCACTCATTAAAATGTTTAATTTTTATTCAAGTGTGAATTACATAAAATTTGGCATTAGTGTGTGTATCAAAGTCAAATAACATTTCCCTTTGTAGGTTGGCATTGTGGGTAGGACAGGTGCAGGAAAATCTTCAATGACCCTTGCACTGTTCCGCATCATAGAAGCAGCCTCGGGTCATATAAGTATTGATAATGTGAACATCTCCAAGATTGGGCTACATGATCTACGTGAACGACTAACTATAATTCCACAGGTAAAGCCTTTACTTAGTATTTGCTTATATTCTTCTGGTAAAGAAGTATTGGTTCAAGAGAGCTAAGATTATGATGAAGGTAAAATTGACAATACAACTCTTCATGTGTTCTTAACCTTGAAAAAATCTATATATCTTATTTTGTCTCTGTGTATTGAATCAATAATATATGGTATTTAGAAAATTTCCTACAAATATGTACTTACTGTAGATGTAGGTAATGAGAATTTTAAATTTACAGGACCCAGTTTTGTTTAGTGGTAAACTGCGTATGAACTTGGATCCCTTCAATAAATATGATGATGCGAAAATATGGTCAGCTTTGGAACATGCCCATCTGAAGGAGTTTGTGTCAGGTCTTACATCTGGTCTGCAGTATGAAATAGCTGAGGGAGGAGAAAATTTGAGGTACACAGTACAAGGAT